TGCGTGATGATCGATCCACTACGATGATCGATGACGGCCAGAGCGACGATGGTTCGTGATGGGGTGGGGGAAGCAGGATATGGCGTCTGATCTCGTATGCCTCTCTTTTGTGCGGTTGTTGCTACAAGGAAAGAGAGAAAGAGGAGAGAATATGAAAATCCGGGCTTGCATGTAATGTGATTTTAGGAAAGAGAAGTGACGTATTTTTTCGCAAGCCTTAATTACGCCGGATGGATGTCCGTTTCTTCCCTTCCTATTTGGCCAGCCAGAGATGTGAGATTTTTTTTTTCACGACCGTTAATTACGCCCAGATGGACGTCTGTTTCCCCTCCTTCCTATTCGGTCAGGCAATTTGAGATTTTTTTCACAAGCGCTTACGACGGGTGGACGCCGTTTGGCCGTAGGTTTCCGTCTATTAGTGGCATATGATGAGACGTGATCACGCGCGTGGAGTGGCATTTTTAGGGAAGAAGCGTCCTGTGGGCCATTGTGGGGGGGCGATGACACCGGGTGGGATAACGAGCATGGGATCGCACGCAGGCAGACCGACGAGCCGACGTTGGATTGTCGCACCAAAACGGTGTCCACTTTTTAGTCTTTTTAGACGTGATGAGAGAAGAGATTGATGAGCCATGCTAACGTGCCACTTGTGGTTGGTGTGGTCTTTGATGATGGCAGTTTCCTTCTTGATTGGTTGCATGGCTTCCTTCTTGATTGCACATGCATGATTCCTGTTTGCATGCACCATTGTGGCGCCGTGCATGGAAGGTGATCTGGTTGCTCGGTTTCACGTAATCCTTGATATTCTTTCTTCCTTCCAAAAGAAAAGAATGGAGATTGGTCTATAATCAATCATTCGTATATATAGTCCTCATTTAGCAAATTGTATTGCTATAATTGTGCATGACTAATTTGGAAGGAAGAATTTTGTTGCAAGGGATGGGTGTAGGAGGCGAGGGCTCATGGAACGCAGCAGCAGGCGTGACTATGGGCCCATGTTGAATGTCGCACAAAAAAAAAGTGTCACGCTTTGTTCTTTTGTCCGTGACATTAATTAGAAAAAAACACATATATATAAAGAAAAAAGTACTTCCTGTATTCCAAACCATAAGTTGTTTTAGTTTTTCTATGTACATAGACATAGAGAAAGAAAAGTACTTCCTTCCATTTCGAATTATAATTTGTTCTGGCTTTTTTAGGTATATAGATTTTGTTATCTAGATATTACACTATGATACACAACTTTTACTATGTATCTACAACAAGCTGAATGACTTGTATTCTCTTCATTTTAAATTATAAGACGTTTTGGATTTTTTAAATACAGTGCTTTTACTATATACCTAAACATAGTGTATACCTAGATGCATAGCGGAAGCCATGTATGTAAAAAAAATAAAACATCTTTATAATTTAGAATGTAAAGAGTAATTTGAAATTGATGGAGTAGCTTTTAGTGGTAAGGCAAGCAAAAAAGAAAGGGAAGTATAGCTAGGCCCAAAACCACCCAGACCCTATCTTAATTGAAAGGAAGAGCTCCTGCCATTGCGTTAAAAAAAACAAAACCACCCAGGCCACTGATGGATTAGCTGGTAAGGCAAGCAAAAAAAAGAAAGGGAAATAAAGCTAGACCCAAAACCAACCCAGACCACTTCCAACCTAAAGATGTAGAGTGATTCAACCCGAAATGGGCCATTCATTATCCTTTGGAAAACTATTCTCACTCAAAAACCAAATCAGCCCAAATAGAAAAAGAAACCCAATAAGCCTTTTTTATATAAAAATAAAATCTTCCGGTGACTTGGGCGGCTAGGATGAATGATGAAGCAGCTTGAGGGTTGAGATTTGACAGGCCTTGAGTCAGTCAACTGGCACTGCGCACGTGTTCGCTTTACGGCTGGCCAAGGATGCCTGGCATTCCAAAGGGGGAACACTATTTTACAGAGAGTTGAAGAGTTGATCGATCCTATCTCGGAGCAGTGGGATGAGCAACTGCTGGCACAAACCTTCTGGGATGATGATGCCTCTCTGATCAAAGCAGTGACAATCCACCTGGACATGCCGGACGTGGTGGGGTGGCATTATGACAACAAAGGCTGCTTCTCTGTGAGATCGGCATACAAGGTTCATCGAGCAGCAGAGAATAGAAAGAAGAGTGGTGCTGGACCGGGAAGAGCAGAAAGTAGCAGAGGTGTTGATGATTTTTGGCAGAAACTATGGAAGATAGACTGCCCTCCGAAAGTGAAACACTTCCTATGGAGATTTAGTCACAATACGTTAACGGTCAAAAGGAACCTGCAAAGATGGGGATGAAGATTGACATGAAGTGCTGCATTTGTGGGAGACTTGATAGAAGATGGGGGACACCTGTTCCTCAAATGTAAGGTCAAAAGAATCTGGCGTGAACTGAACCTGGAGATGGTGCGGACTGAACTTGTGCAGGCCGATTCAGCTAGAACCATGATGGAGAGAGTGCTGAAGCTTGAACCGAAAACTCAGTTGATGGTTGTGTTGCTGTTGTGGCTGTGGTGGGATGAGAGAAATAAGTGGAGAGAGGAAGGAAGGAGAAGAACCGCTGTGAAAGTGGCGTATGTTACAGCTGCTCTGTCTGACAGATTTCAGAAACAAACCGACAATGCTCTAGTGTCGGAAAACTATCAGATACAGAGATGGTCAAAACCACCATCCGGAGCATTCAAGATCAACTCGGACGGGGCCTTTGACAGCAAAAACGGCCAGGGCGGATGGGGTTACATTATCCGGGATGGTGTGATGGTGAAAGCCGGTGTGGTGGATAAGAAGTTTCTTCTGAACCCTTTTCATGCAGAGTTGCTTGCATGCTTGGCGGGGGTAAGAATGGCTGTATCGATGGGATTGTCTCGAGTGGTCCTGGAAACTGATGCTACTCTTGTCAAGACGGCGCTAGAAGGAGAGGAATATCTGCTCTCAGCCTGTGGCGGAATAATCACGGAGATCCGGCTCTTGTTTATGTCGGAGTTCAGTTCTTTCAGTATTCGTGTGTGTCCTAGAATGTGTAATAAGGTTGCTGACGCTCTTGCAGCTTATGAGTGTCGTGTTCTCAGTGACGAGCAAGTCACTTGGGATGATGTACCTCTGATTGTAGAGGGTCTGGTGGCCAGCGATTGTGCTGCGGCCAATGAGTAATTTAGCTTTGCTCTTAAAAAAAACTTCTTTACAGAAGACAAATATCATAATTCAGGACCCTGACATCCACCCCTATGTAAAGCCAAGTGACAAGCTACCCAAGCCAAGCCTGATCTCCAGAAAATACTTTGTGGGCATTATGCTTATGCTTCTTCACCTTGCAATGAGTTTTCAGAGCGATGTAAGAGTAGAAAGCCCGGGATATGAGAAATTAAAGCCCGTGTGTTAAAGAATTCAAGGGTGTTTGTGGTGGACTACGTTTTCCCTTAGCATTCTGCATATATGTCAAAAAAATGTTAAAGACGCAGTTTTGGGGATACCATAAAAATAACGAGCAATCACAACATGTCAACATTAAAGGTCAGCATGAATAATGTTGCACCTTTGGAGAGTCGTCATGATCACCATCTGAATTTGCATTATCTGAATTTGCACTATCATTCCCATCACTGGAATCCTGAACGTCATGTCACACACAAAAAAAAATGATCAAAAGAAAGGTAACATCCAGTGTCAGGAAAATGTAATCACTGCACACGGAATGGGCTTAGATCCATGGACTCATCACTCAGTGCCAATTTTAATCATGAACAAGGTATAGTTTCCAAGATCAGCCGTTAGACATGCACTTCAATAATACTATAAACCGGCTGGCACTTGGTTGTTCGCTGAGTTTTTTTACCGATGTCAACAGGTATTCTAGAAGAACAAGAGAAAGAACTAAAATATTCAGAAAATAGCAGTTGTGTCACAGTTCAACACTTCTACAAACCTCATTATCACTAGATTCACCATCTTCTGAATCAACGTAGTCTTCACCACTGTCATTGTCATCAGAGACACCAACATCAGTTTGAAGTTTCCTTGGATCCGTTGTCTCCTCCATGGTAGAAGGCTGAGTAGCAGCAAGCTTCTCTGCACCACTTTCAGTCTCTTTGCTCTTATCATCTGAATTGTCAACAATGTTAATTAAGTGTCTGGTTGGAGAGTTAATTGGTGGCTCAGATAGTACTTTAGTAATTTCACAAAGAATGATCACAGCGTAAACCAGGAACATATATATGAATCATGGAAATTTAATATGTCATCATATATGGAAATATCGAGACTTCTTTAAAAATTTAGTGAAAGTTAAGATAGTTTAACTTACTAGTCCTTTCTTGCATAGGAAAAGCCTAATCTAGACTTCCCAAAGTAGACCTTGACTTATTTAAGATAGTTTAACTTACTAGTCCTTTCTTGCATAGGAAAAGCCTAATCTAGACTTCCCAAAGTAGACCTTGACTTATTGGGCCGTAGAACGAAAGTCCTTTTCACTTTTTCAGCCCAGTACATGCAGGCATATGTTTTTTCCCAAGCAAACCAAATTGTTCCCTTCAAAAAAAAAAACGAGTTGTTTGCTGAATCTGTAACCTCTATATACGTTTCGAAAAAAAATTGTTACATTACGTCTATGGTGACAATGTACCGTGTTTAACATATGATGTGGATTACGCAGCTATGATCTTGTTTACATACAAGAAGATTTTTTCCCCCTGAATTCTTTGAAATTGGAACAAAAAGAAGCCTCGATCTTACAACGACCCAAAAAAGAAAGAAAGAATTCTGCTCCATACGTACGAACAACTAACGGAGAGCATGGCGCACGCATGCATCTACACCACTCACACGTCACACTTACACGAGGTTCAGTTCTTCATCTACATTTCTTTGTTTTGTTTCGATCGACGCTGTGCATGCCGTGCGATGGATGCATGCTACTTTGGGCAAGCCCCTAGCAGTCCATTTCCAAGTGTCTGTATGTATGCAGGCAGGCACGCAGGCCCGCATCATCATCAGAGGAACTGATCGTTGCTGGGGAAGAAGAGTTTCCAGTAGAGCAGCTCGTTCCACGTGTCCGGCACGCCGGGGAGGCACCAGTGCGTGCAGTCGGCGTAGCTCCTGGGATCGGCGCGCTGCTCGGCCGTCGGCTCCACCCACTGCTTCTTGTAGGTCTGCGTGTGCGCATCCCGGCGGTACTCCGACAGCCGCGTGATGTTGACCAGCCCGACGGGCACCCGCGACGTGGCCAGCACCTCCTCCGTCACCCGCATCATCTCCCGGCTCGTGCTGCCCCGGTACGAGGCGTCGCTGATCGGCGACGTCTGGCCGTAGCAGTTGGCGCCCTCCGCCTTGTCGCCCCACGCCTTGCCCTCTGTGTGCGTTGGCGACGCGGTGACGAAGAACACCCGCGACTTCTTGGCGTCCACGTTGCGCTCCAGCCACCGGACCACCTGATACAGCACCAGCCGGTAGGCCTCCTCCGATTTCATCTCCACGATGTCCTTGCTCGGATCATTGTCGGCGCCCCTCCTGCACGACTCATCGATCGTCCAGACCAACTCATCAGTTCATCACATAAACAAATGGGTTACAAGCAGCAGCAACAGCGAGCAGCGACAGGTTCAGGCGTTCGATCAGGCATGCAGCATGTACTCACAGGATCTGGGTCTTGTCCCCGGCGACCCACCAGAGGTAGGAGTTGAAGACGAGGACGTCGGCGCCCTTCCAGAAGCTGGAGTGCCTGTCCATGGGCGCGCCGCGGATGAGGCGGTCGTCGGCGGAGTGCACCACGGCGTCGTCGGAGTTGGACTCGGCCAGCATGGGCGCCCAGTAGAACTCGATGGTGGCGTCGTAGTCCCTGGCCCTGAAGATGCTCAGCGAGTCCACCGTCTCGAACGACTTGGCGCCGTCGGGGATGGCACGGTGCAGGAGGCACAGCAGGGAGACGTACTGGCCCCGGTTCAGCGAATCGCCCACGAACAGCATCCGCTTCCCCGCAGCATCTCCAGCATCAGCGTCGCGTTGAAGCTGCTTAGTTGATCAATTAATTCCACGGTTCAAACAGTTTCCCCGGACGGATGGAATTTAAATCATACATAATTAACCCCAATTATTCACGGCCCAAGTCAAACGGATTCAGAACACGGTTAGTGATCGCTGTCAGACATCATGCAATCCGGCCACGGCCAGCACCAAAGAATGTTAAGTGGTCGCTCGCCTCTGGCTTGTCGGTGCAGTCACGGCAGAAGGCAACGACGACCCGAGTCCACTACACGACTCGTGACGTCGCACCCGATCGGTCATTGCCGCTTACAGGAGTCGTCGGGACTCAGGACCATGGCGAGACGTCTTGCCCTGCCCTGTGCTCTGCTCTCCGCACTGATACGTCCACTAGCATCGTGGGGAGTGAATGGAGTGGAGTGGACAGTGGACCGAACCAGGCACTGGATCTTGGGCCCCCAGCCGAGTCGTAGGTTAGTGGCCTCGCCGGTTCGGTCTGCGTCGCCGCATGCCGTTGCCCTGTGTTGCTGGTGGTGGTCAGGCAGGCCAGAGGTTACGTTACGTCGCCGGAATGCGACGGCTCGCAAGGGCACAAAACGTGCATGGGCCTCGCTGTCTGCTGACCAAGATCGCGTTACGACGTGTCCCGAGCGCTGATGGATGGACCACGTTTGGTCTGTTGCGGTTGGGAATTTGAACCGGACACCAAATTAGGCCCGTTCTGCTGAAATCAAGCGTAACTATAAGTAACTGATGAACACTATAGGTCAGGGGCGAAGCCCAGTAGTGGTCCGTGGATGCGGATGCACCCCCCAAAAATCAAAAACAAGTTATTGGCCCTGTTCGGCTTACTCCATATCCGGCTTGTTCGGCTTCTTTTTTTAACCGGAACAGTATTTTTCTTTCACACCATTTTCAGCCGGAACAGTGTTTTCAACCAATTTCAGTCAAGATTCAGCAAGCCGAATTAACTTGAGCCCATCACAGGAAGTACTATATGCACCCCCCTTGACCAAAATGCTGCACCCCCCGCAGCTCAGCTTAGAGCAGCCATCCCAATTAACTTGAGCCCATCGCAGGAAGATGAACCGCGCAGCGTGTCTACTCCGCTGGTTTCCCTCGAGGCTCGCGTCCGTTGCGACGGTCTTTCTTCCCGCCCGTGGGCAGTGCGACTCTGAAATTCTGAATCGCTGATCGGCAATCGCCAATGGCCGTCGCCGTGCCCAGGCTTTGGAGCACGCCTGCCGTCTGCGCCTTTGCAATCCGGGCATCCGCGAGCTCTGGCCGCTCCCTCTTGCCGGTTCTGGTCGCTGAGTGGTGAGTGCCTGAGTTTGCAACGTTGCTGCCTGCTGAAGTTCAGAAAGCTCAAAGCTGCTGTCTCCTGTTTGGCCGGTCTACAGACTACAGTCCAGTGTCCAGGCATCAAGGATTCAATCTTTCAAGGTACGTAAGTACAACTCCGTCACTACGAAGTAGTATTTTAGGTCTGTAGCTGTAGTCTTGTAGATATTTGCCTCTATTTCTTTCTCAAGTTATTTACTAAACAGTGTACTAATGACAGATTAATTGATGGAAAGATTTTACAAAAGAAAAGCGCAAGAGTCAGATAGTGCCAACAATACTCGCAATTTGTGTTTGGATGATATCAACTGGGAAGAGGAGATTAAATATGATACAGGGTTGCGGAAACAAATTGATGACTACCATCCTAATCTTAGAGAAATGGTGAGAAGGAAGTACTTGGAAAAAGGGCCTTGCCAACCTCGCACATTTAGTTTTCCTGTGACACGGATTGGAGGAGGGCCAAGAAGGTTTATTCCAGAGTGGTTCAATGAGTTTGGAAGTTGGCTTGAATACAAGTGAATCTAAAGATAGAGCATATTGTTTTTCTGTTTCCTATTTAGAGAAAAAGAAGGATGGTGGATACTGAGCTTTTGTTAAAAATGGTTGGAATGGTTTTCATAGAAAACAAAGGCTCAAAGATCATGTGGGTGATGTTGGTGGCACACACTATCTAGCAATGAAGAAGTGTGATGATTTGTTACAAACAAGACAACATATTAATGTGGCTTTCCGTGGTGTAAATGAAAGTGCTAAGAGGGACTATGTTACTCGATTGAATGGGTCTATTGATGTTGCTAGAATATTAGTAAAGCAAGGCTTGCCTTTTCGAGGCCACGATGAGTCGAAGGATTCTTTAAATAGAGGAAATTTTAGGGAATTTAGTGATTTTGTAGCGGAGCAAAATCCAGTCTTAAGAAACGCAACAAGTAAAGGAAAATCAGAAAATAGTCTTCTGGTTTCTCCTGACATACAAAGGGATATTGTGCATTGTTTTGCAAAGGAGGTGCTACAGGCTATTCTAGAAGAAATTGGGAATGATGTTTTTTGCTTGCTAGTTGATGAGTCTAGAGATGTTTCTTGGAAAGAACAAATGGCTGTGGTCTTGAGATATGTAGATAAATGTGGAATTGTGAAAGAGAGATTTGTTGGACTTATTCATGTGAGTGAAACAACTTCAGCCCATCTCAAGTCTTCTATTGATGCACTATTTGCTGAACTTAACTTAAGTTTAAAGCAAGTTAGAGGCCAAGGATATGATGGTGCTAGCAATATGAGAGGTGAGTTCAATGGCTTGCAATCATTGATCATGAGAGAAAATAGTTCAGCTTATTATGTTCATTGTTTTGCTCACCAACTCCAATTAGTCCTTGTGGCTATTGTGAGAAAGCATAAAGGAGTTAGTGATTTTTTTACCAAGGTTTCCATGTTACTAAATGTTGTTGGTGGATCATCTAAGAGAAGGGAAATGATTAGAGATATTAACCTTAAAGAAATGAGTAAGGCACTTGGGTGTGGGCAACTTCAAACTAGGACATGGTTAAATCAAGAGCAAAGTATTCAAAGACCTGGAGATACTCGTTGGAGTTCTCATTATAAATCTCTCAAGAGTTTAGTTGACATGTTTTCTACAATAGTCAAGTTACTAGAAATTGTGGAAAATGATAAAAAGGAATGGAAAATTAGAGATCAAGCATCAAATCTTCTAGAGTATTTCCAGTCTTTTGACTTCGTCTTCTATTTGCATCTCATGTCAACTATATTAGGAATCACAAATACCTTATCATTAGCACTGCAGCGGAAGGATTAGGACATAGTGAATGCTATTAAATGTGTGAGAGCCACTAGACACCAATTGGATGAGCTTAGAAGAGAAAAGTGGGAAAAACTATTAGTTGACGTGTATGGATTTTGTGAGAAGAATGACATTTCTAAATTGGAAATGGAAGATGAATATATTGATCCAAGGAAGAGGAGGCACAAATCTGGAATTACAAACAAGCATTACTATCAAGTAGATTGTTTCAATGATATTATTGATTGGCTACTTCAAGAGCTTGACAGCCGCTTCAACGAGACAAGCTCTCAATTGCTTGTATGCTCGGCCTCTTTTAGTCCAAGAGACTCATTTTGTGATTTTAATGTGGACAATTTATTGAGCCTAGCAAAGCTTTATCCACATGATTTTGATTTTGGGGATTTGAGGGACCTTAGTAGCCAACTTGGCCTCTACATATTTGATGTGAGAGATGATGATAGGTTCTCCAACATACAAACTGTTGCCGAGCTTTCTCAGAAAATGGTGGAGACTAGAAAACATGATAGTTATCCACTGGTTTATTGACTTCTGAAGCTTGTACTAGTACTGTCAGTTGCTACTGCTACAGTTGAGAGGATTTTCTCAAGCATGAAGATTGTGAAAACGAATTTGCGCAACCGCATCGGTGATCAATTTATGAGCGATTGTCTTATTTGCTACGTGGAGAAAGAAGAAATGATGAAAATCACGAATGAGTCCGTGATTCGTCGCTTCGTGAAAATGCAAGAACGCAGATTTGATGACAATTAAAGGTAACATAATGTATTTTTCCTATCTTAATAGTTTTGACCATGCTAATAGTATTTATATTGCTATTTTTTTGTTACTTCTTTATAGTCGCACCCCCCTCTGTTACGCTCTAGCTTCGCCACTGCTACAGGTTGTTCATGTCATATCTGTGGTTAATGTGTCTCGCTGTAAAATAGCACTCCTATATAGGATCAGTTAGTTATATATCAGAATCTTTGCTGATCCTAATGCTATGGATTTTCTTTTGTCTCGCAAACAAACCTACTGGATCGATCGCTAAGCTCTGACGAGGAGTTCATTGTTCAAGAAGCTAATTTTACTAGCCCTCTTCGTTTCGCTGAAATTTAGCTTATGGCAATATTTATGCTGATTTATTCGTCGAAGCAGTGCCGCCGTGGACGGTTCTTTCTTTGAAACTTGCCATTGATGGTTGTACTACCTCTAGAACATGAACATGGTTCACCTACTACAAACTGCTGCCCTGCGCACTGTAGCCCTATGTGGTATCGGACGTACCACGGCCCCGGCCCTGCCGCGCATTATTCGCGTCCTACACAAGTCACAAGTGAGCGCAGCTCTCGAGGATCGAGATGCTCCATGATGACGCGTAACAATAACCTCTTTGTTACCGTGTGGTGTGTGTCCTTTTAACCATTGTAAAAAAGAAAAGACAGGAAGCAAGCAGTAGTAGTGACTCCTCGCTAGCTTTCTTCACGGTTTCTTGCAAGTTCCTACTGCAGGCGGGGGCACGGTTCCTGCGTTTCTCTCGCCAAAAAGGAGCAGGAGCATTGGATTCTTGCAACCGGCGCACGCAATGTTCACCGTGCTACTGCTGGCCACACGACGCAGAAAAGAGCGAGACGGATGCCGGCAGGCGGCCGGTGCCGGCGACGGCGAGGAGAGGAGGGAGGACGGAGGGTTGCGACTGCGAACCGTCGTACCTGGGCAGGGAGCAGCCGCGCGGCTGCCAGCGCCAGCTCTGGTACGCCTTGTCGGGGCGGCCGTGCGCTTGGCACGTCAGCTGCGGCTGGATGTAGGGGCACTCCCACTCCTGGTACAACGGGCGGGCGTCGTCGTCGCGCACCCACTCGCCCTGGGCGACGTCGCAGCCCGCCGGCGCCGCGCCCACCGCGAACGGCAGCGGCCCTGCCCCCTCCTCGCTCTGCACGCACGGTCATAAACACAGGCAATGCATGGCATAGCGCCCGTCAGAGCAGAGACCAAGAGGACACACGCCTCTGGCGCACGCAGCTAGCCACGCGCGCGCGCGGACGTACCTGGCCGGCGGCGCGGAGGAACGGCGCGGCGGCGGCGACGAGCGCCAGCACGGCGAGGACCTTCATGGCTGATGATGGCTGCACGGCGCACCCGTACGTCCGCGCGCGACGGCAACCACGACCGTCCCCGGCGTGTCACGCAGCTAACTTCCGCGGCCTAGAGCGACGCGGCGGGGCGCATTGGGATCTGGGGCGCGCGGCGGCTGGCGAGGCGAGCTATCCGCTACTGGCCGGCCGAGCGCGCAGCAGATATAACGCGGGGCAGGGGTAGCCCGGGTAGGGGTCCAGCTCGTCCCTCGACCGACCGGGGTCCGCTCCCGCTCTCACTGTAACAACCGCGCGCGTCGTGGGCAGGACGACACCGGCAAGCTTTCGTCAATGGAGTTTTTATTGGCGAAATCCAGGCGGCGGCTGGTACCGCACGGCCGGTGAGATTTGCCTTTACCACCGGGCGGGTTAGGTGAGGTGGAGGGGGGCGGGGGCCGCTGCTCCCTGCTCCTCAGATTCTTGCGGTTGGGTTAGGAGGATCTCCCCCATCCGACGGAATTCCGGCAGATTGGCGCGCGGCAGGTTGGGTTAGATGAACTCGATCGCGCGGAAATTCGTGTGCTTCGGTTGGGGTTTGGTTGCCGAAATTATACCAAATTATATTACTCGGACGGACTGTTTCGCGGTGCAGGAGGACATATCTGGGTCAAATCAAATAAATTTAAATCCCGACGAACTTTTGTGTGCTCTCGTTGTTCTGATATGGAATTCGTTTCGAAGAAAGGCCGGTTTAGTCCAAAAAATTTCACCCCAAATTATCACATCAAATCTTATGGCACATGCATGGAGTATTAAATATAGACGAAAAAAACTAATTACACAGTTTGGTTAGAAATCGCGAGACGAATGTTTTAAGACTAATTAGTCCATAATAAATTCGTCTCGCAGTTTCTAGACGAGCTATATAATTAGTTTTTTTATTAATTTAATTTAGAACTAAAAATTGCGCCACCACACAACCAGCACGCAAATTAGGTTCATTTTGTGAAAAGGAAATGGTGAAGGAGATGTATATGGAGTAAAAACACCTTTTAACAGTTCTCCTAAATTAATCACTTCCTATATAAGTGAATATGAGCATCTCCAAAAGCCTATCATCGTCGTGAGAGTCATTTGCATAAAAATCGGTTTCTATGTCTTTTCATTATGCAACAACTTTTCTATATCTTGTTGGCATTTTAAAGAGTCGGTATCATTTTCTATCTTTAGATAGCGAGAAATTAGAAATAAAATATGAATATATTTAGATAACCAATTAAAAAAGTTGTTGAAGATTTTTTTTTTCCACCCAAATCTCTATTCTGGCCATTATATACAATGCCCTCTCGCACAAGATGTGTTGTAGCCACACATCCCTCCGATGTTAATGCCAAGTGTCGCCTAGACCCACACCTAGACACGAGCATTTGTGAGCCAAGTCCACTAGGCTTTGTTTTCCTTTTATCTACCCACAGTTCGTCTTATATCGTGTACAATAAGAGTAAAACTATCCCATCAAAAGGGTCGATGGATGATTAGAAAGAAGACCATTACTTACATGCCATGTTTAAAATTTAGATATTAAGATATTGGGGAGTTGCTTGTGGAGAGAAAGATTTAGGAGGATAAATGTTCGCATTGGCACTTGTATACATCTATATCTATATATCTAATATTAAAGAACAAAAACTCTTGCTCTAAATTTTGGTCCATTATACTCTTATTCTTTTTCATGTGTTCCTCCCCACTCTGGAAAGTAAGAGCTTCTTCATCAAACTAAGAAAACTCAATCCCTTTTCTAATCCTCTTTCCATGAATGTTATTTTCAATTGAGAAAAAGATTTTTTTTTATTTTTAACCTTTTTCTAAAACAAATTCCAAATATAACACCGTTGATTTTTTATTTTCAAATCTAACACTTTTGGCCGCACCAAATTTCGTGGCGCGGCCAAAATACGCTGCCGCATCGCATGCATCGGCGTGGCACGATCTGCCACGTCGGACAGTGATTTCCACGTGGAAATCCTTGGCGCGCCACTGCCGATTGGCGCGGCAGCACTGTAGCACCGCGAGCATCCAGACTGGCGCGGCATGACACAACCTTATAAAAATTGTATCTTTTTCATACGATCTCGGATGAAGATGATCTTTATATGAAAATTATAGATCTCGACGAGATCTACAACTTTATAGTTTTGAGTTTTTTCATTTAAGGTCGTTAAAATGCTCAAAAAAATTAAACAAAGTTTCAGCAGTATATTAGTCGCGTACAAGCGCTTATCGTCTTGAAAAAATCATATCATTATTACATGGTGTCAGATGGAGATACTTTCTATATGAAAGTTGTAGCCCTAGATGTGATCTACAAATTTGTAGTTTTGAGTTTTTGCATTTAAGATCATTAAGATGCTCAAGAAAAATAATATAAAGTTCCAGCATCATATTAATCGCGTACATGCATTTGCCGTTTTGGAAAAATCATATCTTTCTTATATGGTGTCAAATGGAGATATCTTCTATATGAAAGTTATAGCTCTCGGTGGGATCTATAAATTTATAGTTTTAGATTTTTGCATTTGAGATCATTAAGATGCTTAAAAAATAATAATATAAAGTTTCAGTATCGTATTAATCCCGTACAAGCCCTTGCCGTCTTGAAAAAATAGTATCTTTCTTATATGGCGTTAAATTGAGATACTTTTTATATGAAAGTTATAACTCGCATGAACTTCACCTTTGTCTTCTTCCATGGTGGATGTCTATTTGGTAGGTGCGGTGCGACAGTGAGAGGCCACAACGGTGGAGAGGGGGTGAGGTGGGGGGTGTGAGTGTGAGTGTGGGTGTGGTGGCTTGCAGTGGTGGAAATAGACAACATCTACAGGAGAAAAGAGAGAAGGACAAGAGCCAAGTGTTAAGAGAGATTAAAGCCTAAAGAGGAGTGATTTTCTCAATCTTCTGCAGCACATCTCTCTTAAAACCTCAAAACTTGTTTTCTCAATTGTCTATAGCAAATTTTAAAGAAAAGGGGACACAGAGGGTTTGGTGTAGGCAGTGCATGATGAATTAGATATTAGATATTAGAGTTCTAATTGGTTTATTGTCCCATCCGTGATCTAAACTCATAAGTTATGCTCATACGAGTTATAATATCGGACATCCAACCATAATACAGGGTCTGGTTCCAGATATAGTAGAAGATGTTACGCAAGATGTGTAATTCTATTGTAACCTACTGCCATATTAGCTAGTATACATATGAAAATAATAATAATTTGGGCCTCGTGGACATGCTACCAAATCTGGAGTATTCAATCCGTTTCAAAACATTTTCTCCCCGATGAAACACTAGGACACACGTACAGGAGTCGTGGTATGGACCTAACTCAGCGGTGCAGTTGAAGGTAATGCAGCACGTTGCTTCATTTAAACGAAAACTTTTAGGTGAGCGTCTCCTGGTCGTCAACTTCAGGCTTTTGGCTTGCTCACACACCATACCATTTGGTGTACCTAAAATTCTGCGTTATCCGGTGAGACACAACCGTGGATGGACGTTGCTAGAGTGACAAACCAACACGACGAGCACGGGACGGAATGCTTACTGAATATTCCTGCCCAGACGAGCAACACGAATGAAAAGCTGAAAGCAACACGATCGACCGAGTAAAGCAAGAACTTGTACGAGAAAAAAAGGCACGATTTTTTCCGTGTGTCTTGCAAGCAAAGTTTATATATATATATACACACACGTACTATTCTGTAGCTGGCCACAGAATAAGTTATTCTGTGGCCACTTTGAGTTACGATAATTACTATACTAATTTACGAGATTACGGTAACTCTCTCATAAGTGATTTACTATAGTATTATGGTAAGTATTATCTTGAATTCTAGTAACCATGTATCGTAAATGTGTATTGTCATTATCATAAATTGGTATAAACATTATCGTAAATCAAGGTGGCCACAGAATAAGTTATTCTGTGACCAGCTGTAGAATAGCCTTACCGTGTGTGTATATATATATGTGACACAAAAAGAGGGTTTAAAAGGTACGGCACCGGGGCAGTTGGCCAATGAATAGCGTTATTATGTTTTGCGTTTGGTGAGGGTTTTTGTGAAGCCTGACAGCACAACAGACCCTAAACAAGCAAGCGGCGAGAGCGGCCGAGAAAAGCAACGAGCAACGAGCAACGTGCGCTGCGTTCAGTGCTTTAGTTGTTGCCCGCTCCACACTCCATAGTGATTAGCACAAACGATTAAGCCAAGCTTCACTAAGCATCACATGCTTCGTTAGAAAATATAATAAAAAGGTAGAAAAGGAACGGAACCGACGATTTCATGAAATCGCCGTCGCATTAGGCGAAAGAAACCTCACGCAGTCATGTTTGAGTCCTTCCATTACGCGAAATCTTTATCGCTGTCGCATTACTGAATAACTCTGAACGTTTGTTGTCTGCAGGCCAGATCGCGGCCACACGAGCATCGCATTGGCGATCCGGCTCGTCGCTCTCGCATTTCCCGTGGCGGCTGCGTGCAGGCGTGCGTCGACGCCGATGCGCATAGCGACCGTGCCTCCTAACCGACCCGGCCACTCCACTCTGCGCAGTTGAAGAGGCACCACTAGATAGTGGCGACCTAACCAAACCAGGCGGCCCATTAATTAAAATTTAAACAACACAGCTGCGCGCCCGCCCGCCGCGCGGTCTCCGGCGAGTGCCGGCCGTTGCTGTGTCGCCGAGACGCCGACGGGCGACGGCCGGCGGGTCCGGCTCCGATCGGCCCCAGCGAGTATATATGTATATTGAAGCACCCTTTTGACGATCGTGCGCACGCACTGCTTCTAGGTCTACTGTCTACGGAGTACTAGCAGCGGTAGGTCTTGAAGGGAGGACGCCTGCGCGTGGGCCCGAGGCATCGCGGGATTTAACTGGTCTGGGCACGACAATGCTGTCGCTGGGCCCGCGCCAGCTCGGCCTTTGCCTCCAGCCGCAGCGTGAAATGAACGGTGGGTAGTGGGCAAGTACTAGCAGATGAGATCGACCGACCACCCCCGGAAGGCTAGAACCGCCCTCTTGGTGGCCAGCCCTTTCCAATTTTTTTTCTCCCTCTCCCTCCCTCTTGGTGGCCAGCATGAAAATGTCAAATCTCGGTTGTTTAGACTAGACCGGAAGACAGTGTGTGTGAGGGTGAGAGAAAGAGGCGCACGCACCAAATAAAGGTGGCGGGCGGGGCGAGCCCGCGCTAATGCTTCCGATGCAATCAATCGGCAATCATGCGATCGAGCACCTGCAGGTTAAGCTACCAGACCAGCTGCTGCTAGCATTGCCCTGCGTGCGCTAGCGATCTGCGTGCGACTCCTCGATGCTGCAGGCAACGGCCGGCCGGACGACGAGGCGAGCACGCACACGGCTTGGTGGCCAGCGCCCCGCGCCCGGCAGGCCGTCGTGCAGCACGCACGCACGCGTGCGCGTCCGGCAACAGCGTCTGCTGGCGTTATAAAAGCTGCCCGCAGACGAGGGGGGTCGGAGGGGCCTCGCGGTCACGCGGTGTATGGATCAATGCCTTGCCCTTCAGAACATGACATCAGCTAGTTTTTTTTAAGAAATAGTTAAACCTTTGGATGTTTCGTCGCTCCTTTTTTTTCCCCCTACAGGACGTCTGCTCGTGCTCAGTACTACTAGGACGGCCGAGTACTGTAGCGCAGGGCCACCGTTGCTGTGCTGGTTGGAAATGTGTCGTGAAGGACGGGAGGGTTGGTGCCGTGTACGCGTCACGGGCAAAAAAAGGCTATGACTGAGGTCCTAACCCTGACAACGAAACAGAGGTTAGGGATGCTGTCTATTATTGAACTACTCCTAGCTAAAGTACAGGAGCAGTTAACTGCGTCGGCATGCAGCAAAGTCAAACACAACCAGGAGCATGCAGTATCTGTATCTTTAGGCCTCGTTCACTTTGAAAAAAATGAATCCGATAAATAGTATCACTTTCGTTTTATTTGGCAAATATTGTCCAATCGTGGATCAACTAGGCTCAAAAGATTCATCTCGTGATTTCCAACTAAACTGTGTAATTATTTATTTTTTTTACCTACATTTAATACTCCATGCAATCGGCTAAAAATTGATGTGGTGAAGAGAGTGTGAAAAAACTTGAAATTTGAATGGCATCTAAACAAGGCGCTAGTTACGCTTCCATTCCAGAACCTAGTTCCTCTTCTGCTCTGCGGACACCAGCAGACCCGGTTGTTGGATCGAATATTACAACTGGCCAGTGACCAGCGCCGTAGCGTCAACGTCCCAGGTGGTATCGTGATCAACGAAATGTTACTACTATCTCCTGAGCGCTGGCTCACGACGGTAAGAACCTTTTTTTTTCTTCGAAAGACCCGTTATCGGCTTTCATTGATAAGAGGAGAGCAACTAATTACAAGTGTTTTGGCGCAAGAGGCGCCCACCTTTTTGTATGGCTTCACCAAAAATAGTGATGCCACACCACCCCTAAGCTTTATATAGTCAGCTTACATAAGTATTATAGCAGTCATTCTTTGACAAGTAATTCATCTAAATCATATGGCCGGCAGTCGCACTGCCCTGCTGCTGCGCCGTCGACGGGATTATAATCTCTACGCCACTGTTACCTGCACGTATCCACATCCTCGCTTCATCTTGGATCGCCCAGAATAGTTGTTGTGGTGACCTGCTAGTTCTACCGAAAACTCGATTGTTTCTTTCTTTCCAGATATCCCAAACGGTCAGCATGGTGACTGAACGGACGCCCTCTCTCTTGGCTCCCTGGCCACTGTTTCCCATGTCAATGAACCACTGACCGAAATCCACCGTTTGGCTCCAGTTAGCCGGCTTCAACGCTGGTGCCGAGATCCATGAGCCAACCTTTTCCCAAATTATTCTTGAGAAGCAACACTCTTGGAGCAGGTGGTACATCGTTTCAAGATTTCTAATACATAACGGGCAGAAGTAATCATTTGGCTGTTATAAACTGTGGATCGACTAGGGTAGATCTAGACGGATGAATACTTAGACCAGTGAAGCACATGCACATTTAGACCTAGAATACTACACCGAGAGGGAGATAGGGTAGAGAGGGGCTGGTGATGAACCTGAGCCTTCAGATGAAGTCGCAGTTGTGCTGGCCATCGCTGGTTCGGTGATGGAGGCAAGACACACGGGCAAACGGGTGGAGTAGAGGTTCTTCGCGGACGGACGTCGATGCGGTCTTGTCGGTCGGGCATAGCAAATGATTTACGGCGAGGATCGGGAGCTTCCGTCATTGGGTCAAGCGCGCCCTCTTAGATCGGTCTAGGGTTTGTCGGTGGGTTTGCGACTCACGGCGAACCTCGTGCTTTGAGCCGCCGGCCCCCACCTCTTTATATAGCGCAGTGCGACGGGGGCCCACCAACCATGTAGGGTTGGGCGCCCCCGATCAGGGCGCGTGACCAAGGCCCAATAGGCCGTTGGGCTTATTGGTTAGGAGATCAATCTAACATTCTCCCCCTTGATCTCACTATTACTTTTATCTTTAAACTTTAAACTTCAATCCTTTTATCCTTACTCATTTCTTCACAGATGATGCATAGAGCATGTCTCATCGTCACGGTCAATCGCCGATAGATTTAACAGCTACAATATACGTCTCTGATCTGAAATAGTTACTTTAACTTTTGGGCCCTTTATAGTCCAGGAATCATAGGCTTTTCCTTAAACCCATACCGGCTACATGTTCTCTGAACACGTTGGGTGGTAAGCCTTTTGTAAGCGGATCCACGAGCATCTTTTCGGTACTTATATGCTCAAGACTTATCATTTGATCCCGAACTTTATCCTTCACAACATAATACTTTATGTCAATGTGTTTGGCAAAGACCACTTGACCTATTGTTGTGAGCATCTTTGCTTCTTTGGATTATTATCGCAGATAACTTCATGGTTTATTGATGTCGCCAACCACCTTCAAACCGGGTATGAACTTCTTTAGCCGTTCACACCTGCCCCATTGCCTCATAACACGCTACAAACTCGGCATACATTGTGGGCGATGTAGTGACGGTTTGCTTTGAGCTTTTCCATGAAATAGCTCCCCTGCGAGAGTGAACACATATCCGACGTGGATTTTCTATTATCTCCCGCATAAATTAGAATCTGAATATCTCACTATATGGAGTGAATCGGATCTTCTATATGTCATCATGAGGCCTTTCGTTCCTTGCAAATAACGCAAAGACTTTCTTTACCAATTTCCAGATGTTCTATTCCGAGATTGCTCCGGAATCGCCAAGTAACCCGGTAACAAATGCCAAGTCGTAGGCTGGCGTACACACTTGAGCATATTGCAAGCTTCCGACAATTTGAAGCATATGGAACCACTTTCATTTGATCGATCTCATATTGGTTCTGGGGCATTGAAAATCCCCATATCTCATCATATTGACTATAGGAGCGGTGAGGGACTACACTTGTGCATACTTGAATTTCTTTAAGACTTTTTCTATGTATGCCTTTTGTGACAGTCCTAATACCCTTTACTTCTATCTCGGTGAATCTCGATCCCTAGAACGAACGAAGCTTCACCAAGATCTTTCATATCAAATTTTGAGGACAAAAACTTCTTTGTCTCCAGTAGTAGACTGACATCACTACTAGCAAGTAAGATATCATCCACATACAGGACAAGGAAGATAAACTTTCCATTCTTAAACTTTGCGTAGACACAATTGTCCTCAACATTATCTTTAAACCCAAAATTCTTTATTGTCTGATCAAACTTCAAGTACCACTGTCTTGAAGCTTGTTTTAATCCATAAATAGATTTCTTTAGGCGGCATCCCAAACGTTCTTTTCCCTCCATGACAAAACCTTTTGGTTGTGCCATGTAAACATTTTCCTCTAAGTCTCCGTTGAGAAATGCCGTCTTTACATCCATCTGATGTAATTCCAAATCGTAATGTGCCACTAATGCCATTATGATTCTGAAGGAATCCTTACACGAGACTGGAGAAAAAATCTCATTGTAATCAATCCCTTCTCTTTGTGTAAAGCCTTTTGCCACAAGTCGGGCTTTATATCTTTCTATGTTCCCTTGAGAGTCAAGTTTTGTTTTGTAGACCCATTTACAGCCTACTGTTTTGGCTCCTTTAGAAATTATCTCCAAATCCCAAACTTTATTTGCATTCATTGATCTCATCTCATCTTCCATGGCCTCAAGCCACTTTGATGAATGATCACTTTTCATGGCTTCTTCAAATGAGGTGGGATCGTCCTCCATTTGAAATTCTTCAGTGTTGTACACTTCATAATCAGCAGGAATAGCTGATTTTCTAACTCTTTGAGACCTTCTAGGGCCTCCTCAATTGGCACATTTTACTGCTTGAGGTGTTGTTGCTCCCCTCATGTGTGGCAATAGGTTCTATAGGATCCCGAGGCACGGTGTTCCTCATCATCATTCATTGTTGCCACAGCGGGATAACAACAGGTGTTGGCACCACAGTGTCTTGTACTGTTGGTGCAGCAACAGCAGGTAGTGAGAAAAATGGCTCATGAATGATCGGAGTGGGTGCATACACCCGCTTCTCTTCAAAGTCAATTTCTCGAGCTACCATGCTCCCCTAATCATTTCATCCTCTAGGAAGACAGTGTCTCGTTTCCACAAACTTTGTATGTCTCATAGGACAAGAGAAACGAAAACCTTTTGACTTTTTCTCGGTAGCCAATGAAATGGCAACTCACTGCTTTTAGAATCTAGCTTCCCAATGTTTGGGTTAAAAACTTTAGCCTCAAAGAGGCTCCCCACACACGCAAGTGGTTAAGTGAGGGTACTCTTCCTATCCACAACTCATACGGTGTTTTGGGCACCGACTTACTTGGTACTCTATTGAGAATATGAATGGCGGTTTTAACGCCTCCATCCACGACTCTCATCGGTAAAGTGGAGTAACTTATCATACTACGCACCATATCCATCGAGGTGCAGTTCGCCTTTCAGCTACTCCATTCTGCTGAGAGGTTCGCCTTAGGTGTTGAATCTTCGGGCGACTATACCATTCTCCTGTAAGAACCTTGCGAAAGGTCCGTGAACTTGTCCATATGGGGTATGCCGACCGTAGTACTCTCCTCCACGGTCGGACGACTGACTATCTTAATCTTTAAATCATACCGATTTTCAACTTCGCTTTAAATATTTTGAATTTATCCAACGCTTCGTTCTTTTTTTTTAATTGGATAAATATAGCCAAACCGAGAGTAATCGTCATGAATGTTATGAATGAATCATAACCATCCACACTTTTCATAGGAAAAGGACCACATATATCTGTGTGAATAATCTGTAGAATTCTCCGCCGTTTGGCATCTTTCTTAATTTTCTTTACATACTTTCCTTTTATGCAATCTCTACATTGTTCTAACTCTGAGAGCTCTAATGAAGGAAGAATATTATTCTTAACTAGTCTTTCTATTCTCCCCTCGAAATATGGCCTAAACGATGATTGCCATAATTTCGACAACGCATCGTGAGCTCTCTTTCGTTTTCTTTCCATTGTTCGATGAGGATACATTTTCATTCACATCACATACTGAATTCACATTTTCATGAAGTGATAACAAATAAAGCTCGTCTTGTCGGAAGGCAAGACCAACACATTTATTATTAAACAATATCTGACATTTGCCATTTCCAAAATGGCAATCATAACCATCATGGTCCAACTTTGATACACTAATCAGGTTTCTTTGCAAAGAAGGTACATAAAGAACATCTCTAAGAAAAAGTATAAAGCCATCTGGAAGCTCTAGAGGAAGATCTCCAACGGCCTCAACCTCTGCTTGTACTCCATTTGCGACTTTAATGAAACTTTCGCTTCTTTGCAAAGTTCTCATCGAACGGAATCCTCTGTAATGATAGCAACATAAATAGTTGCACCTGAATCAATCCACCAAGTAGATTTTGAAAACTTTACATACAAGGATTCATTTACAAACGTAATAATGTTCTCACCTTTATTCTTCATTATCATCTTTAGGAAATCGGGACAGTTCTTTTTATAATGTCCCGTCTTCTTGCAGTGGAGACACTGATCTTTAGCCACTGGGAATTGCTGGTTCTGAGACTGTTGCATAGGACCTTTTCCAGATGACTTGGAGGAAGAGTCATTATAATAGTTCTTTTCTTATCTTTTAGGTAGTTGATGTAACCACCTTGTGAAACTTTTATTCTTTCCTCCTCCCGCACACACATGGCTATGAGCTTTTCTAAATCCCATTTTTCAGTCAGTATGTTGTAATTAACAACAAATGTGTCAAATTCTTTGGGCAAAGAAGCAAAATCAAATGAATAAGAAACTCATCCTTGAGTGCCAAATCCATTGGTTTGAGCTTAGATGCCGATTGCCCATTCTCAAGATAGTGCTCTCTAATGCCACCGCCGCCACCGTAGTACCTTTTTCAGAACCAAATGCTTGATCACCGGGTTGCATATGTCTTTGAAGAGCTAGTGAACTGACTCTTTATTCTATCTAGGTACTCTGACTGTGTCATCACACGATCTGAATTGAGCCCACAATAGCGAGCTCAATCGTATTTTTTATCAACGCCAAACACTTCTTGTTGGCGGTGACCCATTTCCTATGCTCAAGGTCATAGGACATCTTTACGAGGAGCAAAATCCCGCTCTCTATTCTCGCCATGCAAACATCGGTCTCATCAGCCTCCCTCACCGTGCCACAGTGTTCTCCAGGCACGGTGTGTGACAACTCTTCCCACCACCTCAAATGAGGATGAAGGCCAGTGTCTATCTTTTTTCTTCCACTCATTATAGTTATCACCTTTTAGAGTGGGGATCTCTTTGATACAACTCATTAAGTTGTATCCTCCTCAAAACACAATTCAAATAGTGTGAGAACAGAATAACAACAATAATTGCATGCCTTAGTTTAACGTTGGTCAAAATTAAAACATACAATTGTTTTATACATTAAATCTACATCATTTGTTGCGTAAAATAGAAATAATGCATAATCATTAAAATTATAATATTGCTATTAACAACGTTGGTCAGAAAATAACAATATCATAATCATCTCATATTTATCTCTTGGCTCTTAAAATCAAATTCTCCCGTTGGTTCGAATTTAATTAAAAGTCCATAATTACTTTAAATACGCAGCGGAAAATTTAAATATGCCCATAATTATTTTTCCAGAAACTCTTAAATATTGCACTGTTCTCTGAACAAAATTGTCGTTGGACAAAAATTGCACAAAGATTTGCATCAACTTCCAATTGAAATTCATCAAAAATATATATTTCTGGAAAAATAAAAGAAAAACTTTGACCTATTTCTATTCATTAGGCCATTTCGCCCAAATGAAAGACATCGCTGCCCACGGCTCGCTTCATCACTTCACATGGCAACAAGATTTCGCGCCAGTGCCGCAACTGGGGCTGGGCCGGAATTCACCTCGCGCCCTTTCCCTTTGAGTTGCGGCGGCTGCTGCCGCCCGCTCGTGGTCGTCCGTCTCGGTCGAGCGGTGGAGCGCCTGACTCGGGGCATCAAAACCCCGGCGGCCGCCTCTCCCCGAAAACCCTAGACCATTTCTCTTTCTCTCTCTCTCCCACGGCGACGGTAGCGAAGACGAAGGGAGCGCGCAACACCTCGTCACCGGAGAAGAAGTGAGGACGACACGCGGCCCAAGCCCTCGCCGGTGCGCAAGGCGCCCATGGCAGCCCATGGCGAGCGCTTTGCCGTCAGCGGCTTTGGACCATTGTCTGAAACCACGGCCGAAGCCGGGCCTCATCCGCTTCGCCAACCATGGCGGCGGTGATCACCGCCAAGACGGGTGGTGGCTTTCATGCAGCGGCGGCGGTGTCGGAAGGACCGGTAGGTTCCCTCTTCATCTTTTCCTTCCCAAAACCCAATCTAGGGTTAGGGTTTCATTTCTAGGGTTAGGGTTCTTTCTGATCCGATCCGAGATCGGGATCCTTTCCGGTTTCTTTGATTCGGATTTTGCACGATTTCCCAATTAGGGTTAGGGTTAGGTTTGGGGATGAAACTGTTTTCTTCTTCCCCCCGATTTGAAATCGGTTCTTTTCCCTTCTCAGTCAATCACCGAGCAGGTTAGGATGTCGAGACCATGTCTCAAACAGTTCTCACTTTTCCCGTACCCGATTGAGGATTAGGGTTCGATTTCTTTCTTTCCCCGATCCAGATCTACCGCTAGAAAAAGGCTCTGGTACCATTGTTATAAACTGTGGATCGACTAGGGTAGATTAGACGGATGAATACTTAGACCAGTGAAGCACATGCACATTTAGACCTAGAATACTACACCGAGAGGGAGATAGGGTAGAGAGGGGCTGGTGATGAACCTGAGCCTTCAGATGAAGTCGCGATTGTCTTTGGCCATCATTGGTTCGGTGATGGAGGCAAGACACGGGCAGCGACGGTGGAGTAGAGGTTGCGCGACGTCGATGCAAAGGCGGTCGGGCGTAGCGATGGATTTACGGCGAGAGATCGGGAGCTTTCCGTCGGGTCACGCGCCCTCTTAGATCGGTCTAGGGTTTGTCGGTGGGTTTGCGACTCACGGCGAACCTCGTGCTTTGAGCCGCCGCCCCCACCTCTTTATATAAGCGCGGTCTGACGAGGCCCACCAACCATGTAGGGTTGGGCGCCCCCGATCAGGGCGTGTGACCAAGACCCAATAGGCCGTTGGGCTTATTGGTTAGGAGATCAATCTAACATTGGCCATCCCCTGATCTGCAATCGCGTTGCCGTCCAAACTCTATTCTGGAGCATCAACCAAGAGAAGAAGCGGCATTTCGGTGGTGTTTTTGTTGCCCATGTAATATCAGCTGTCATGGACTTAGTCGTTCCAATGAACTGCAACTGATATGCAGACTTTGCCATGTATTGGCCATCCGCAGTGTGGCGCCAAATTTTTCTGTCATCCTCTGATGGTCTCAACTCAATGCCCTGTAGTCTTTCCCATAAGGCCACAAATTCTGTTATTATGTTCACAGTCATGCTATGATCCACATCTCGAACCCATTTGTGGTCAGTAATGGCATCCTTCACCGACCTATTATTTCTTTTGCTGTGTTTGAATAAGGCAGGGAAGAGTGTTGCAGGCGCCTCTCCTAGAAACCAGCGGGAGGTCCAGAAGATAGCCTTCTCACCGTTTCCAATTGTCACACTAGTTGCCGCATTGAAGAGAGCTATATCCTGCTTGTCCACTGGCAGCTCCAAGCCTCTCCACGATCTGCCTCTTTCATCCCAATAAAACCAAAGCCAGCGCAATCTTAAAGCTCTACTGAATCTTTCCAGTTCGATGATACCTGCACCACCGTTTGGAGTTGGCATACAGACCTTGGTCCACGCTATCTTGCAATTTTCCCCAGTCAACTCTTTGTCACCTGCCCAGAGGAACCTTCTTCGCAGCTTGTCAAGCTCCTTCATAAATTTTTTTGAGGCTTTGACCACCGTTAGTAAATATACAGGGAGGGAGCTGAGGACTAAGCGGATCAGCTCCCTCCGTCCAGCCACATTCAGCAGGCGCCCTTGCCACCCTTCCACTTTGGCCTTAGCTCTGTCTTGGATGTATTGGATGTGAACCATCTTCAGCCTGCCAAGTGTGAGTGGACAGATTCAGGAAACATTGTTTGTGGAGAGGGGCAGATGAAAATAACAGAATTAATGCTAAAGCAGTATGGCCTCTTGTTACAAGATCAAAGGATGAAGGTGGCCTAGGTGTTCTAGATCTCAAAAGTCAAAATGAAGCACTCTTGTTGAAAAATCTTCACAAGTTCTTCAACAGGGCTGATATTCCATGGGTTCATCTTGTTTGGGAGAAGCATTATAAAAATGGAAGACTTCCAAATCACATTAAACGAGGCTCTTTTTGGTGGAGGAATATACTGAAGTTATTGGATAAATTCAAGGGTATGGCTTCAGTTTCAGTTGCAGATGGCTCCACCTGTCTACTTTGGGAGGACTGTTGGCAGGGGCAGCCTTTAAAGTTAGCCTTTCCTAAGCTCCATTCCTTTGTCAAGAAGCCTGCTATCTCCCTCAAGACTGCAATTTCAGTTGATTCACCTTCAGACCTTTTCCATCTTTCCCTGTCTGAGGAAGCCTTTGGGCAGTTTCAGCAGCTGGAAGGCCTCTTCCAAAATCTTCATTTGACCATGACAAATGCTGCTGATGTGTGGAGTTACATCTGGGGGAACTCTCTATTTTCAACAAAGAAAGCTTATTGCCAGTTGAGGGGATCAAAATGGTCACATCCTGTGTTCAAATGGTTGTGGAAATCTTCACGCCAACATAAGCATAAAGCTTTCTTCTGGTTGCTCTGTCAGGATAGGCTCAGCACTAGAAACATTATAAGAAGGAAAAAAATTCATCTGCCTTCTTATAATTGTGTGCTGTGTTCTCATAATCTGGAGGAGACAGTGAGCACCTTTTTATTTACTGTGATCTAGCTAGAGAATGCTGGGGCCTGATTGGTTTGACAGTTGGTGTCTACCCCAACCCATATAAGATCTTTGAAGACTTCAGAGTTCAGTTAAATGTGCCCTTCTTAATGGAAATTGTCATAATCATGTACTGGAGTATCTGGGCTGTGAGGAATGATGTGATCTTCAGAGGAATTCCTGCGAGTAGCCAAAGATGTTTGGCAATTTTCAAGCTTAATTTTGGCCTGCTTCTGTGGAGAGCCAAAAAGAAATACTTCCCCCTGATTGAATCATGGCTAGAGCAAACTGTGTAATCAGCCTGATTTTCTTTGTTACCTTTTTTTGTCTCCTGAACCTCCTCCTCCCTTTCTTTGCTCATGTTGTAGTCTGCTACTTTTTGTTTTGTTTTCTTTTTGTTTGGCTGTAACCCTCTTGGTTATTTTAATAAAATTTCAGTAGAGGCTCCTGAGCCTCTCCTGTTCTCCTCAAAAAAAAAAAAACTCTAGGACCAGGGAAATCTTGGAGCACAGAGTCCATGTCAATACCACCACATCTAATCATTGCCACGGTGCTCTTTTGCATATTGATTCTCATACCTGTAGCTTCACCAAAGGCACTCATGATCTCCATGATGCATGAAACGTCCTCCTTTCTTGGGTTAGTGAAAATCACCGCATCGTCCGCATACATGGAGATCCGTAGGCTCGCGTGTCTACCTTTCAGTTTTGACAGAGATCTTGCTGTGTTGCAACCTCGAAGATGTTGTTGAGTATATCAATGGCCAAGATGAAAAGGTATGGTGACAGTGGGTCACCTTGTCGGATTCCTCTCAAATGCTTGATTCTATCACCCGGGCATCCATTCAGCATGATGGAGGAGGAGGAGGTTCTGAAGATTGTTGCTAACCAGTCTAGCCATCTTGTTGGGAAACCTCTTCTGCCGAGTAACTCAAGAAGGTATTCCCATGATACTGAGTCGAAGGCTTTTGTTATGTCGAGTTTGATGAGGCAAACAGGCGTCTTTGTCCTGTGGTAGTGTCTTGCTAGTCCCTGGATGTACATGTAATTCTCTTGGATGCATCTCTTCTTGATAAATGCGCTCTGCACATTGGAAATCAGCTTATCGATATACACGGACAGCCTTATTGCCAGCACCTTCGTTAAACGCTTCGCAAATGAGTGGATCAGGCTAATTGGTCTGAAGTCCTTCGGCTCAGTTGCCACCTCAATCTTGGGGAGCAGCACTACCTCAGCACGGTTTAGGTGTTCCAATGCCCCATTGCGATGCATATGGAAGGCATTGAAGGCCACGAGGATGTCAATTTTGATTATGTCCCAACATTGCTTGTAGAAATCGTTGGTGAAGCCATCGGGGCCAGGGGCCTTCTCATTTGGTAGACCTTTCACAGCATGCTCGATTTCACTCTCTGTGAACGGTCTGTCCAATTCCAGACCCGGCAGCTGCTGCAATGGGTTCAGTTGAACGCCTGGCCAGTTGAAGGTTCTTTGCCTTTGTTCCTTCTTCCCGATCAGGTTTTCGAAATATTCCTGTAGGACCTTCTGTTTGCCATCGTTGTTCCAGGCCAAGGTGCCATCCTGTTTTTTGAGCGATGGAATGTATTGTCTTCGTTTCCTGGCGGACATCCTCAAGTGGAAAATTCTAGTGCATGCATCCCCAGACTTTATGTAGTTGATTCTAGATGCCTGCCTTCTTCTGCTTCTCTGTAGTGCCGCTAATTAAGCCCAGTATTCTGATCTTGAGGTCCTGTCTCAAGGAAATTTCCTCGCTTGAGAGGCTACGGTCTTCCTGAGCTATGTCCAGTCGCAATATAACCTCATTTGCAATATGTAGCTGTAGTCGTGCATTGCTGAACAGGGGCTTACTCCATGCGCGTAGAGCCCGTGCAATCTCGGCTAACTTCTTACTCAGAATGGTATGCGATGATCCCGTCTGCGGCTTATCCCATGCTGCCTGCACCACTTCTCTGAAGCCTTCGACTTTCAACCATTGATTCTCGAACTTGAAGCAGGCCTTTCTTGACATCCGGTCTTGACGGTTTAGTATGAGCGGGCAGTGATCTGAGGCGCCGGTCGCCAACGCACTTAGCGTGAAGTTTGGGAAAGACACTTCCCACTGCGCGGTGCAGAAGTGTCGGGGGGTGTCCGGGGTGTCTTAAGGCATCGATTAGTTAGTAGGTCACGCGGCCTACAACAAATCAGCTAGCAAATACCCGAACGACCGAGGCCCAGCTAAGCTAAGCAAACCAGGCCGGGGTCACCCACGCCCCCTTCCTCCTGCCTTAGCCGCACGGCGCTCGAAGGGCGCATGACCTCTCCCCCGTCATGACCCCTGGAAGGAACGGGGAGAGGTCGAGCCCAGCCAAGCGTGCCTGCTCTGACAGGAACAAGCACGCCGCACTGACCCCGCAAGGACCGAGGGGACAGCGGTCACCTCGATCCAGTCAGACGTCATCCCTGTGCCACGCTGCATAGACAAAGACAACACTGCACGGCGGTGACAACCGGTACGGAGCCCACTGTCCAAATACGGTCCGACAAGACGCAGGTACGATTACACCCACTACGGGATATGATCCACGATGAGGGCCTTGACTTAGAGGCTATTCAGACTGATGGGAGCCACGACCCCAACGATCGGGATCGAGGCCCCCAGCTATTCAAGCCAACAAGATGATCGACGACCTGGGGCGGCTACCAACTCCCGTACGACACCCAAAAAAATCAGGAGACGATGACGAAGACCACGGCGGATACCATGTCGCACAGGACAGCTGGCGCACCACCACCGTGCCTACAGTACCGCCACGGCCTGCACAATAGCACCACGCCACACCCTGCCGCGACATGGCCACAAGAACATGACGACAATCACGCCCGGACGTGTACCTCAAGACGGCGTAGCATGCAAGCCAAGTTAGCTAGGTCCTCCCTCAGGCTCACGACCCTTCGGTCGGGGTAACCTACTGCTTTGTATATGCCCTAGCCCCGAACTGTATATAAGGGCAGCCAGGGCGCCCTCTTCAGGGACATGATTCACATCCTCTATCATTTCATTCATTCTCCATAGTATTAGGGCTCCTGGAGCTTCTCTTCAGGCAGTCAATTTCCTAGCTCTAGCTCTCTATCCTCTTCCACCATTCTTGCACCTCCATTGTAAGAACTTCAGAGCATTCGAGCGAGGAACACGCACTCGATCATCTCTAAGACTGGACGTCTGGCCCCAGCCTGAACCAGTATAAATTCTCGTGTCTTTTGGATGCTACCATTATCTTTCTAGAGCAGCGCGGCAATCGTAAAAATTTACTAGTCCGGTTTACGAAACACCGACAAGAAGGCTCTGTCTAACCGCACCATGGCTTCTGTGGCTAATAAGCCGACTAATGCTGATTTGTTGTGAGAAAAATACTGTACTATAATTGATAAGCCAGATAAGTTCAAACGAAGAGGGCCCAGAACAAGAGAGCAGCAGAGAGAAGAGATGGGTGAGAGGTGACTGGTGAGGCTAAGGTTCCTAATTTTTCCTATGTTCTTCGTTACTTGGACTTCCTATGTTCTTCGTCACTTGGACTATGCTGGGCCTTGCCCGATGTTTTTGTCTTCCAGCCCACTCCGCAAGGCCTGTCACTTGGGCTGGCCAGCTCTCCAACATTCAGCCTATCAGACAATCTGATGCTGTTGCTCAAAAAAAAAGAAGACAAATCTGATGCTAGCGCGCTGAAATTACAGAGAAAACAGAGAAAAGGATTCATAGAATTACAGAGAAAGAGGAATCAGAGAATTACACTACATCATCAGGCACATATAAAAGATCACCTGGTGCAATTCCAACACTCATGTTCAAGTTCAATAAATGAATCGTATATCAACAATACCATGCCACGTGGAAGCTTTGCCAACAAAGTATAGACAGCCGGCCTCATATATATCAAATCAACTACTACAGCAGAGCTTCCATCTCCCGTGTACCGTGTGCCTTCTTCAGAATGTTGGACCTATATGATGTGTCAAGCTAACTATTCTCCAGCGTACCAATACCAGAGAGCCTCCCAGATGATATGCTATGCTCCCAGTCCCAACTTCACAGTGCAACTTGCACTCTGTAAAAAGGGAATACGGGACTGGGTGACCGATCGGCGTTATCGAATCCTGCAGATGATGCCCCAACCTTAAGCTCAGGGGAAAAAGAGCTTGGAGTAGAGCAGCTCGTTCCATGTGTCCTGGAGCCCTGGCAGGCACCAATGCGTGCAGTCCGCATAGCTCTTTGGGTTCGCGATCTGCTCCGGGGTTAGCGGGTTCCACTGCTTCTTGTAAATCTGAGTGTGCGCGTCCTTCCTGTATTCAGAGAGCTGGGTGATGTTCACAACCCCCACGGGGATCTTGGACGCGCCGAATACTTCCCCAATGACTCGCATCAGGCCCTTGCTTGTGCCTGGTCCCCAGTAAGACAAAGCCTTGATAGGAGTTGTCTGGTTGTAGCAGTTCCCGTCAGTATCATCACCCCAATCTTTGCTCCTATATTAACAAGAGAACAAACCCGTATTAATCGTAGCCATGCCATATATGTGTGGTTCTTCTGAAACTAGAATCATAGAAAGAGGTTGCTGCATTCACGCTAGCGGCTTACCTTGTATGAGTGGGTGACATAGTGACAAAAATACTCTTGAAGTTTTGGGGTTCATGTTGCTCTCAACCCATTTCAGCACAGCATTCAGTACCATTCCATAGGCATCCTCAGTTTCCATTTCTATGATATCCTTGTTTTTATCTTCAAAAGAGTTTTGCCTGAAACCAAACGGTGCTTGGATAAGAAATATGGGACTTCATGCCGACTACAGAAAATAGACATTATTTCTTCAAACTGTCAATTCCACGGCCTATTTTTCAACTATGAGGAAATTTCAGCTAGAAACAGATGGTGAAAAAACTTGGCATAGTAAAGGAAGACACTTACAAAATTTTCATCTTTTGTCCGGTCATCCACCAAAGGTAGGTATTGAATACTAATATGTCAGCCCCCTTCCAAAATTTGGCATGTTTCTCAATGGATGTTCCTCTTACAATTCGATCCACAACACGGTGCACAACAGCATCGTCAGAATTTGACTCAGCCAGAAAGGGAGCCCAGTAGAACTCAATGGTGGCATTATAGTCCTAGCAAACGTGAAACATTAATTTTTTCAGCATGGATGAAACTAAAGAAGGATGTACCTCAAAAGCTAGAAAAACAGATACTAAAGGCAAAGATGCAAATCAAATAGATTTTATTTCCTTCTACCAGTATATATATAAAACATTTATGAATCGGAGTCTTTTTCTGAGGCAAAATTTGCAAGGGAAGATACTCTACTGGACAAATGTATTGATGCATCAAGAATAAAAAGTTACTGTACAAGGGGAAAAAAAGGAAAAGAATGTACAAATGCCTGGGTAGAAAGTTTAGCAAAGATATATTTGGTGATCACAGCTGGTCCGTTGAACAGCGAAAAAAATGATGCACCAGATTCTGAGCAATGTGCCCATGCTTCACTCTGTTTCTAAGCTTTTCATTTGTCACACTAAAAGATACAAATGGAATACCTTTGCTTTGAAAACTGTAAGGGAATCAAATGTCTCCATTGACTTGGAGCTCTCAGGGATGCTTCGATGCAGGAGGCAAACCAATGATACATATTGCCCACGGTTCAGAGAATCTCCAACAAACAGCATTCGTTTACCCCGCAACATCTCTAGCATTAGAGTTGCATTGAAGCTGCAACAGAAGATATTTTCCAGTAAGATACCGTGCATCAAAAGATGATTAATTACTACAAAAACTGCACAGGACAGTTAAGAAGCAGATTGTATTCCATTGCAGCACTGATATAAGACATTGCTATGCACAGTTCCAAAAAGAAAATAAATACCACTATGATAAAAGAATGCCTTAAATTGTTCTACAAATATTTACTCGTGACTCCTAATAACTAATCGCTGGCAACAATGACCTCTATCTGCATCTAAGTCGAATGGGGTTTTCTTTTTCATAAATGTGACTTATATCTTCGCATCTAAAAATACCACTGTTAGTACTTAGAAGTATAGATATCTCAGTTAAAAATACCTTCATAAACAAAACGCATCACCTACAAATGTAATAGATTTAGACCTAGTATTGTAATCCAAGTAGACTTAGGGGTGTTTAAATCCAGGGGCTAAAGTTTAGGGGTGTCACATCGGATGTCATGTAAGGGTGTCACATCGAGTGTTCGGATAGTAATAATAAAACAAATTACACAAGTTCTCAATAATCCGCGAGACAAATTTATTAAACCTAATTAACCCGTCATTAGCGCATGTTTACTGTAGCACCACATTGCCAAATCATGGACTAATTAGGCTTAAAAAATTCGTCTCGCAAATTAGTCTTAATCTATGCATTTAGTTTCGTAATTAGTCTATATTTAATACTCCATGCATGTGTCAAACATCTGATATGACAGGGGCTAAAGTTAAGGAGGGGGAAATAAACACAGCTAAATGTCATACTAGATATGTAGGAGTATCAATTATGCTGACTATATTATGAACAAAATGTATCCATATAATAAGCTACAACAGTTCCCTAAACTCCATGGCACATACTGTACCAACCTCAGGATCCCCAAGCGTCACATCAATCAATCAATAACATAATAAGAGTTTTGAAAGCTGAGAAAATGAGGTTGGATAGAAACAAAGCACCAAACCGCACAGGAAAGCACCAAAACTGGCACCGGTACAGTACTGTCGCACAATCTTTAGACCGGATCCACGGGAAAGGAGCGTGAAACCAAGCCCGTGCAATTGGAGGCTCCCCATCCACGGCTCGGCTGTACGCATGTCCGCACGGGCACGGCCCCACCGTGCCAGACGGACCACACCATTCGGCTAATCTGCCGGCCGGCCGGTCCCTCTGTGGCTTGCTTGCTCGAACCTCGTGCTCCCACGTGACAGCCTGCAATCTTGCTCGCCCGGCAGCACGCAGGGTGCAGGGCTAGGAGTCATCAATCAATAACCAAGAAACCCGTACCGGGCGTCCGGGCCAGGGCAGCACCAACTGGAGCCACCATGCGAGGCTGCACCAGCGAGTGGGCCGTGCCCACGGCACATGACATCTCGCGCTCGCGCCTCCCATGGTGGCGGTGCACCGCCGGAGCTGAGGCCTGAGGGCCTCCGAACTGGCGAACTGCCCACATCAACATTCAATTTGCAGCTAGCTGGCATCTCATTGCCGACGTTGCCGTCCAGCGGCAGCCCGAGCCGCACGCGGCGCCGCATGGACCCCGTGTCCCGCCGTATGGCCTGTCGCGCCCCACCGCCCATCATAGTTATTGGGATCGGATCGGACCAACGATTTGACCGATAAAAGACCGAACCAGGGACTATAGAGGTCCGGTTCACTTAAAATACCATTCATGTAATCGAACCGGTACAAATAGGTTGAACCGGCCGTTTTTTTACAGAACCGGTGAACCAGGCCCTGCTAGTGCTAGGCTGCTGTTGGCTCCGCGTTTTGTGTTTCACGCTTGGAAGTTGCATGCAGCAGGCTTGTTGACTTTGGGCAGATGTCAATTGATGTCAGCGCTGTATTTCTAATTTCGAAATTTATTAACCTTTTCATATGACCTCTCAATTAGACAAATAATATATCCGTTTTAATTATCTGAACAAGGTCTTCGCAATGGTTTACTTTATTTTAACATTTGAGAATTTTTTAATCATGATGAATATTTCAATCACTATTCAGGTCCTTTTTGCGCCAATTCGTAAATCGCAAGTGCCCCATATGTTATTTTTTTCAAGCGTATTTTTTTATATATCCTGTAAAATAACTAGAGCACCAAAATTTGTGAAACTTATTAAGTTATAAGACATATCTTGCTATGACGCATTATGATTGTATATATTTTTGTATATGTGATAAAATATATGTACCTAATTATGTGTTATATGTCATTATATTGCACCGGTTCAAAATATTTTAGAGCGATTCAATTCATCCAATCGAAAGTAATCGAACCAGCGGTTCAACTGGTTCTGACCATTCGAGCCCTCGCCGGTTCAATATCCGGTCCGATCCTAATACGCTGCACATGTCCGGCCTTAAGGCTGGCTACCTGCTCACCTACGACTGCGAGGTTACGGTCTCGGCGACGGGGCCACCAGGCCCACCCGGGGACTCGCGCGTCCGCCGCCTGGCGCGTGGCGCCTGCGCCGCGGCCCGCGTGCCGCGCGCTCGCTACCGGCCGCGCGCTTGGATCGTCCAAAACGAAGCGTATGCCAACAAGCGACAAGGCAAGCCTCGAAACCTCGCCGTTTTCCGTCGGCTCCGTTCGCACGCGTCTCGATCCCATGTTGTGGTCGACTCTTTTTTGCCATTCTTTTTTTAATTAGATTAGAATAACGATGATCCTTTTGAGGAAGAACTAGCATCATCATCATCAATCAAAGGGAAGAAATTTGAAACGAGAGCGCTCGATCCGGTCTGGATCAAGAGCCTAACGCTAATTCAGCACCGGTCCGCCGGATCAGAATTACCGCCACTTGTTCAGACAGAATCACGGCGAAGGGGGGGGGGGGGGGGGGTCAGGGGAAAGCGTACCTGGGCAGCGAGCAGCCGCGCGGCTGCCACCGCCAGTGCTGGTACGCCCGGTCGGGGCGTCCGTGGGCCTGGCACGTGAGCTGCGGCTGGATGTAGGGGCACTCCTCCTCCTGGTACCACGGCCGCGCCGCCTCGTCGTACACCCACTCCCCTTGCCCGACGTCGCACCCCGCCGGCGCCCTGCCCACCGCGAACGGCAGCTGCTCTACCGCCGCGCGGCGCCCGGCCTGGCTTGCTACGTCTGAGTCGGAGGAGTGGTGGCGGGGGCGGAGCGGGCGGCGGTGTGGGTGCGGCGGCGGGCGGTTGAGGAAGGGGCGGTGCAGCGTGGAGGAGAAGTCCTTGAAGTAGAGTACGGAGACGAAGGTGATGAAGGCGAGCGTGAGCGCGTAGGACGTCAGGAAGGGGCTCCTGCTCCCGCGCCCGTTGCCGTGCTGCGCCTTCATCGTCGGCCTCATCCGCCGGGGGGACGGACGTCTGCTCCGGCCGGCGCTCCTTCCTTCCTCCCCCCGCCCCGCCTTCTCTACCCGCGCGCTCCCTCGCTCCTCCCTCTCGGCCCAGCTCGCATCGCAGGATCCGCGGGCAATGGAGACCACCGGCGCGCCCTGATCTCTGATCTGGCGCTGGGTGCGCGGGATCTGGATGCAGAGGAGCTTGGAGCGAGGAGGAGCAGCTCTCCACCTGCTGCTGGAGATGAAGCTTTGCTTTGCTCTCGCTTTTGTTTGGCCTTTTGGTTTTGGGGCCTTTCACTTTTGGTGGAGTAGGCCGTCCCAAGCTTGAGTGGTGGGGACTCCACACGGCAGAGTGGGTACGGGGGAACAAACGGGATGGTGCCTCTAGCTTGAGTGCAAACTGCAAACAGCTGAAGTTGGGGCGGATTCGTTAGGCGGATTGTCACATGTTAGCTTGGTCGTATTAGTTATGATATAGTGTTTTTATCTTACAATAAAATAGTATTAGCTGATTTATAAGTCATAAAAATGATCAAGTGAACCAGGTGTGTGACACAAGCAAAGGTCAGCTACTTGCATTGACTGTTTCTGTTTCACTTGCCTTGACCTCTAATCAGTGTAGATAAACGGATCTACTATTGTCTTAGTGTTTACCAGTAAAACATATGATCACCTTCACCAAGATGCCTTGAAATTACGAGAGTAATAAAAAATAATAAAAGAACATGGACCGGTTCAATTCAGATTGAACCAAATAGTCTACACCTTATAAAAGCCACAACGCTACCTAAGAGGACCTAAAAAACTTTATGATGATATAACAGCTTAGATCAAACAAAATAGTTTGTGCCAAATACAACTATGGCATTATAATCCAAAGAAAGAAAGAAACCGTATGGCATTGGATTTTATGATGATCTTATGGCTTAGATGAAATTAAAGAAAAAAAATCAATGCCTAATAATATTGAGATCATTAATAAAAAATATAAAAGAACATGCACTGTTTGATTTTATGATGATCTAGCAACTTACAACACCGAGTCCATTTCTAATACAATCGTGAGAATAGTTAGAACAAATAAAATAACATACACCATTACATTTTATGGTGATGCAACAATTTAAATTACATCAACAAGTCCATGAAACAAATTTATTTGCAAAAATAAAATATTAAATTAAGAAAAACTAAAATGAATGAGAAAAGGCTATCTATCTAAGTTGTTTGAATCATGTAATTGTGCTACGGTGATAAAACCGGAGCTAGTGAAAACTCCAACTTAATTAAGGCCCCGTTCGGCTTGCTGAATCTTGGCTGAAAAACACTGTTCTGGCTGAAATATTATGAGAGAAAAAAACTGTTCCGACTAAAAAAAGAAGCTAAAGCCGGATATAGGGTAAGACGAACGGGGCCTAACTAAAGGTCTGTTTGATCTAGTCTAAAGTTTAGTTTAAGTGACTAAATTTTTTATCACTTTAGCTCCATTGTGTGGTCTTATGAATTACACTATGTAAAAAGAGCACATCACAGACGCGCGTTCAGACGCATCATAGACGCGCCTGCCATAACGCGTCTGTAATAAGGCTTATTACATACGCGCAAAAAGTGTGTCTGTAATAAGCACATACTACAGACGCGTGTACTAATACGCGACTGTGACAAAAACGAACATGCGTATGTGATAAGCCCTTAACAGAGTCTGGTGAGTATCTACACGCGTCTGCAGTAAGCTCTTACTGGAGATGCGTGTTGCCAACACGCGTCCGCGATAAGATTAAGACGTGTCTGTGTAAAGAACCATATCTCAGATGCGTGTCTGTAGTAAGATTCTTACTACAGATAACATTTGTAAACGCGTCTGTATGAAAAAACATAGTGCTGACACGTATACAATACACGTGTCTGTAGTAAGGATACTACTACAGACGATGTTTGTAAACGCGTCTGTAGTAAGTACCATACTACAGACTCGTATTCTCTACACGTGTCTATAGTATTTTCCTTATCACAGACGGGTCTAGGCTACAGACGCGTCTGTAGTAAGGAAAATGCTATAGACACATCTGTAGCCTATACCTGTCTGTAGCCCACAGCACATATGTACACAGATCTCATAGAAATGACATATATATACAAGATCATAGTTGTTCATCTCAAAACTTAATTTGTTCACAGTACACACATTGTTCATCACACATAGTTCATAGATCGATTGTTCATCACTAGGTTATTCTCACATGTATATATCTCATAGCTCTAATTGTATCTCAGTTCACAGATCAAATGAACATATATGCTAGGCACTTTTATCATGGTTGTGTATGTGAACAATGAAACTCACCTGTTTCGTCAGGATTTGCGACACAATAAACGAGGTGAGCTTCTCTCTAATGTCCGCAAAGTTGATTGGAGTGGACTGCACTTCAAAATCCTAAGACAAAGAAAGATAGTCATAAGATGAAGTTGCACATGTGTATAGCCATCATCCATAAAATAAAGCTGCACAACAAAAGATGACAATATATATATATGACAACAACAGTACCAAAAAATATAAGTAAATATATATAAGCCAGCCATAGTCTAAAAAGGGTCATAGCAGCAGATCACAGCAGCAGCTTCATCTTGTTCTAGATCACAGTAGCAGTTCCAAAAATTGACAGCGGCAGTATATATGACAACAAGAGGGGGGTCAAGGCATTCCAAGTAGATCACAGCAGCTGAGTAATAATAAATACATATATATTTACAGTTGTACTAAGGATCAGTCAGATTGGCCTGTGCCATCACCAGCATCAAGTGGTGGCCCGCAAAGAACCCATATGTGTGGTCCAGAGCTTGCTGCTGGCACTGTGAACATAGAAAACACATGGTTAATAATTGAATTGACAAAACGACTTCACAACTGGAAGTGAAGCACTATTTACTGAAATTTTGAATGCATGGGTCAACTTCAATTTTCCCTGCCCTTTCTTCGGCTTGGGTTGGCAATTGCCAAAAGCCCTACACATACATGAGTTGTTATCAATTTTTTTGACTTCCACTAACATAATTAAGAAAGAAATACATGGGTCAATAGTAGGTTAGACAATACTCACTCATATATCACAGATTTGATAGGAGTCAAATCTAACTTCTTGCCTCTATTGGAGTTGAGGTATATCACCTTCTGCCACATTCGAGTGATGATGACAGCAATCCAGTGCCACCACAGTTATGTGCAAACATCACAAACTTTTTATTAGCATATTTCCTTAGGCAATATACCAGATAATCCACGCTATAGCCTTTATCAGTGTTCATAGTCTTTATTGACACTAGATCTGGATCAATAATGCCAACAGGCACATCTTTGGCCCTAGCTTCTATAATCAGGCATCTAGGAATAAAGAAGCATACAAAAGCAATTTAGCAAGCAAATATATGAAGAACATCCCTAGCTAAAAATGAACAAGCCTAGAAAATAAATGAAATTGTACTTACAGTGACAACACGCGAAGAAGTCCTACATCCAATCCATTAAGTTTGAAGAGGTCAAACAAGTCTTCTAATCCCACAGCGAAAAACTCAGTGTCTGCCAGACGCCAAAAATGATGTTTCTTGAACACGGCAACCATCCCGGTTGTCCTCTTCTCTTCACATTCTTTCATGTACCAAGCATGAAGAGCAACACACTCAGGTCCTGCCTTCTCAAGCTCTATTTCTGATAGGAATCACTCTCCAAATTTGAACTTGGTGTTGGCCCTATTCCATACAGAACCCCCAGGGTCACTCTTAGACGATTTGGTGGGTTTCTCCACCTTCTGTTGCTGCTCCAGTTTGCTATCACTCTTGACTGCCGCAGGCTGTTTCGGTGGGTTAGCTGGAGCAGTTGTGAACTTAGGTTGCTCTAGTGCTGCATCAGTCTCCTTTGAAGCACTCTTTTCTACTGTAGTGCCACTGTTTGGCTTATCAACAGTTGCACTCTTAGAGGCACTATTCTTCGCCTTCTCATCGCCTATCACAAAGTCCTTTAGATTGCTTTTGGAGCTCACAAGCAGTGGATGTCTTGATAACTTTAGAGAAGAGAGCACCTTTGGTGATACCACAATCTGGCCTCTCCTTCACTGGACCCTCTTGTATAGAGCCTATCCCAAAGTTCTTACCTCAGGACTTAGGGGCGGACTCAGCGGTCTGTCCTCATGTTTTGGATGTACATAGTCAATATGTACAACGACATAATGTTCCATTACTGGTTGTGAACATAGGTCAGTTTGCGCTGGGAAGACCCGACCCCTTGCTACCTCCATCTAATAACCTCTAGGGTTGATTACTTGGCTACACGATGTTGGCTCTGTCAGAAGGTCTACAGTATCTAGATCTAGAGTTACCTCAAGTCCGTTGAAGTAGTCTCTTCCAACTGCATCTGAGGCTGAGGCCCATCTACTCTTTTGACCACCTACAGGGCTAGGGGTGTTGGAAGGTGACCTCAAATGCACTCCTTGGTCACGCAGCATGGCCATGATATCATTTGTGACCTTCTTGGTAATTTCTTCTGTCACTTGGGGCTTTTAACTTCTTCTTTGATGGCTTCCACATCCACATCACTTGTTGCTTGCTTCCTCTTTCTGTACATGCCAGCGCAGTCCGGCCAATGCTTCCAACCACTGTAACTAGACACACCACACACACAGCTTGTTTGTTCTAGGATACCCAAGACCTCTGTGAGCACATTCTTTTCCCTAACCAAAGAGACCCCTGAAGACTTAAGGGCTCCTTGCTTCTCTAAAATTAGCTTAGATACACTTTCAGCTGAACCTTTCAACCAACGAATCTCAGCACTTCCTTCTAACCTAAGCAAAGTACTCCGTGCACGTAGAAAATTCCTTGGGCGGCCACCTAGAAACTAGTCCCAAGGATTACTGATGCCTTGGGCGGCTAACTCCCTATCCTCCTGCTCCCACTTTGCGGCTTTCCCTTCATACCCTCCTATCCCCAGGCAGTGGTCTTGCTTGTTCCTCTCC